GATTTTGGTGAAGACTAACGCCGTGGGAACCAAACAATCGTTTATTGTAACTAATTTTCAAATATACACAATGTCACCATCATTTATGCAAAATCTAATCTTGAGTGTTTTATACTAAAACTATTAATAAATTAATAATCTTGCTATAACAAAATAATTATACTAAATTTTAGTTGTACTGTTAATTTCACCTACTTGCAATTTACCTACTGTTCGTAAACTTAATGTTATCATATGTATCAATTTTTGTTTATAACGAGTCAAAGTAACTGAATTAGTAATCTTATTTATAAATTGTATAAAATTAGAAAATACACTTTACAAACTTACAGTATTACGAAAATATAAAGTTTTATAGAAATTATAAGTATTCAGTACTTTTATGATTACATACAGTAATAGGTTATAATTTTTAATTATTGTTGGAATGCGTTAAATAACGGATTGAAATGAACTTATGGATTAAAAATTTTAATTTAAAATCAGTTATAATACTTATCAGTGATAAGTGATCACAGTTTATATCACATTTAAAAGAGATGTGTTTAACTCTATTCATTGGTGTTCTTGTGGTCTCGACGGCCATCATTATAATCATTGAATCAGTTTTAGGCGGATATATATTTTTCGCACATTTACTCTCATTCTCAGTCCGATACATAATTTTAGGCGATTTCTCTAACTTGTCTACCGTTTCCTTATATAATATAATTATTTTAATAAATTTCCTATCATTCGGAGTCTTACTACTGGCCCTTCTATCCGGTTATTTCGAGAAATGCTTTTCATATGAGATGTTTAGTTTGGCATCACTTGTGTTGATATTATGCATAACTGTTCGCAGATATCAATCAGGAATCGATTTGTTTGATGAGGTCATAGTGAAAGAGATATACATGTCTTACATCCGTGACTATGATCCCAACCAAAGCTGTCGATTCAGAAGCAGTTGTTTCGAAACAACAAACTTTCACCGCTTGAAGAAGTGTTGCGGTTGGCTCTCACCCAACGACTACATCCACTCCAACTGGAATGTCGTGAACAACGATACCCAACAACTGCCCAAATATTGCTGCAATTTCTGGTACATTAAGTATACACACAATAACTGCACAATCGATTCAATCAACAAGTTTGAGATCGGATGTCGTTCTGCAATGACTTACGAATACGAGACCTTTAATCCAATCAGTTATCGGTACGGAATCCTTTACCCGATCATCAAAGCAATTTCAGCAATACTTTTCAAAATCGCTAAAACTTCGTCTCTATTGCCCAGAGCTGAGGGTATATTCTCGCACTCTATCCCCAAATAATACATTATTCTTACAAATTCTTGTATTAAATTGATATTTTTATTAATTTCATAATGAAAAATATTAAAATCTCATTGATTTTGAATATTTGTAAATTAATTTTTACATTAAACATAATAAATATTTGTAATTTTATTTAAAATCAACATAACATATAAAATTAATTCATTCAATCATTTGAAGTCTAAATAACTGGCTCGCAACGCAAATCCTTGAACCGTAAGAAACCATTAGTGAACATCACTGAGAACTGAATCATATTCTTGGGACTGACAGCAATGGGTTCTTTGGATATAAAAGCTGCCAAATGCCAGTTGGGACTCATATTGAATGAGTTGATCACAATTTGTTGAGTTAAATGCAATTCATACCAATAGAGTATTGCATCCAATTGTCCACATTGAACAACATTCACACAACACTTATTGTTGGGCTCAACATCGATCTCATGCTTTGATTGACTTAAATCATTGAAATTGATTTCCAATAAGTCGAAAGAGTCACTCAGTTCTGAATATTCAATTTTCTTCACATCAATGTTTTGAAGAATTTCAGTCTAAAAAATATAAATTCATTAA